TTTCAAAAAATACATTTCGATTTATAATCTGTGTTTATAAACTATAAAAATTTGACATTTGACGGTGACATACAGATTCCCCTATTGTTTCATAGATCTGTTCTATAAAAATATTTGATTTAAATCATTTTAAGATAATAATAAGTATTTGTCGTAGAAAAAGTATAGTATGCACCTCGTTTATAAACTTTTCTATACACTCATTAATTTAAGAACTCGCTCGCAAGCTCGCTCGTGCCTAAATTAAATTCGTGTGTAAAATGGCGTTTATCAAATTTGATACATAATATACTATTATCTTTAGGCGTTTTATAATGTAAGCTGTTGTCAACGCTCACTACCAAAGTATTCGATTATTTCCTAGGCTGTAAAAATAACTTAAATCAATTAGGGTAAACCACATAGTTATTGGACACTTAGGGAATATTATTTATTTAAAATTTATATTTGCCGTTGTTATGAAGATTTTAGTTTTTTTCTTATAAATATTTATATAAAAAGGATAGTTTGTTTAAACTTAATTTACGTTTACTTAAAAATAAGAATATTTGAATTTTTAATAATAGTTTTATAAAAACATGCAAAAAAGTATAGTAATTGGACATTTTATATAGTAATTGGACACATGGACCATAGTTATTGGACATACAATTTTTATATAAACATAACAACTTTACATCAAATAACATAAATTGTTAAATATTTTTTAAAGATAAATTGCTGTTTTAGGTAATTTTTTTTTATTTCGTTTTTGTTAATATCATATAATTCATATATTTCTTTCTAGGATTCCTCATCTCTTTTCTAGATTCTGAAGGTAACTACTAATTCGTTGGTCTGACTTCTGAAATAGTTTGTTGCAAATATCATTAAGTGTGTAGTTTATGAAGCATTTATAATGTTTAGGCCGGAACAGGATGATAATATTTTTCGGGTGGTATGTTAAAAGTATTTTCCGAATTTATTAATTTTGTTGCCATTAGTTTTTTATGTTCTCTATCATGCACTGTATTTAAATCACTGTTATTCTGCAAGATGTCCTGTATCGAAGAAATCACTGTATTACTTACTTTCTAAAAAATGAATTAGTCAAAAATGTCATAGCGAATTGGTTGGTTAGTTTACAAACTAGCTAAAGCTTGGCTATTTTGTGTTACTGGAAATTTTGGTTTTCATATTAGCCAAACTGAATTGGATAGTATACAAACTATCCAGCTATTTTAGTTTCCCTAATAATTTCAAGTAAATTAGCCAAGATCCTTGGTTATTTTGTAAACTAGCCGCTAATTTAGTTGAAAATATGTTTTCAATTAAAATAGCTGACAGTTTGGCTAGTTTATAAACTATCCAGCTAGTTTATAAACTATCCAAGTTTGCACATTAGCCATAACATAAGTACTAAGTTTTGGGAAAAATAATAATCATATTTTGTTATACTCAGTATATCTACCGCGCGATTTCTCTTTGAAGCTAAATCTCTCGCGCCGCATCGTCCAGAGAATTCAATTTCTTCCTTCGATCGCTTCTCTCTCGCGTCTGTGTCGCAAATCAAAGCGGTCAGTGGGGACCAACCTCGCCTACCGCGATTCTTCCGCCTCCCAAGATTTACGCGCCGCGGTCCGAATCAGAGTGACCGTAAACGGTGAAAATCGCTGTTGTGTTGTGTCTCGTGTTCCAATTTGTTCGGATGTTTGTTTTGGTTTGCATTTGTTACGTTGAGTTTTAGTAGTACTACGTTGTTTTGGATTTTTTGTTTCCGGTGTTTATTTTTTGAGTTTTGTCAAGATGCTGAGATCCATTGCAGGGCTTGCCATGATTGGTATATCCATTATTTTTATTTTATAGTTACAAATTATGATAATATTTTTAAAATTGCGAATTTTTAGCTTTCTTATATGTATACACATTTTATATTATATAATTATTATATGATTATTAAAAATAAAATATTAAAAATTATATTTTTATAATTTTCTGTGATTTTATTATACTCTCTAAAAATGAATTAGTCAAAATTGACTAATTTAATAGTTATAAGTGGCTGCTTTTTCATTTGTGCCATGGTTAACCATAGAATGCCATTGTATCCCAAAATTTAACAGCCAATTCTTATGTAAAATTGTCCCTGAATCCGAAAATTATGAAAGTTTGAGATATAGTCAATTTCATATTAATTGAAAAATTGACTATATCTCAAAAACTGTTCTACTTTTTTAACTTTTGATAGTATTTTCGGATTCAGGGGACAATTTTACATAAGAATTGGGATACCATGGTATTTCATCGTACAAGTGAAAAAGCAGCCACTTATAACTATTAAATTAGTCATTTTTTACTTATTCATTTTTAATCTATAGATTTTTCAAAATTTTGGTTACATTCCCAAATTCTTTTTTAAAAGATGAGGTCTTTTATATTGTCCAAAATATTTTTTTAAAATTTTTTATTAATATTTTACTTTTTGGTATATTATATTATGGTAATATTTTTAAAATTTCGAATTTTCAGCTTTTTTAAATACTGATACAGTTTTATATTTTATATAATTTTATGAATTTTATGAATATTGAAATTAAGTTTTTAATGATATCTACCCATTTATTACATTATATTTTTATAATTTTCTGTGATTTTTTTGTAGTTTTTTTCAAAATTTTGCTTACTTTACTTTTACAAATTCTTTTTTAAAATATGAGTTCTTTTATATTGCCAAAATATTTTTTTATAATTTTTTGTCAATATTTTACTTTTTGGTATATTATATTATATTATTTTTATTTTATTTTATAGTTATAAATTATGCTAAGGTTTTTAAAATTACGAATTTTTTGTTTTTTTTTAAATACTGATACAGTTTAATATATTATATAATAATTATATGATTATTGCCCTAAAAATTAAGTTTTTAATGATCTTCCCGTTTATTACATTATATTTTTATAATTTTCTGTGATTTTTTATAGTTTTTTTTTAAATTTTGGTTACTTTTACAAAATATTTTTTAAGATATGAGGTCTTTTATATTGTCGAAAATATTTTTGCATCATTTTTTGGAGCCTTTTTAATGATGATTATATATTTTTCCCATGTGGTATTTTTTATTTCACGTTTTTATAAAATTTGGCAATTGAAATTTTAATATTTTATAATATGATTTAAAAAACATTATTTTTTATTTTATATAAATAGTATTAATTTTATATCCCAAACCTTTTAATTTAAAAAATAGTACTTGTACCTACTGAGTGTAGTATACCCATCATGTGGTTTATTTGATTAAAATTTATTAAACCCTAATAAGTACTTAAGCCATTCCACGCGTGACGGATGGGATAGTTGCCGTGTTTTTATTTACAAAATAATGTTGTTCTATTGTATTGCCAATGTCAAATTTTTATAAATGGTTCTAAACTGGAGCTGTTTAACAAGGTTTTTATTTGGCAAAATTGGGTATCGTGATTGACTGTCCAATTCCTTAAAAACTAATAATTTAAAGCGTAACGGTCGGGACTTTGCAATAGTCCCGACCTAACGGTCGGGACTATTGCAAAGTCCCGACCGTTACGCTTTAAATTATTAATTTTTAAGGAATTACTTAATTATCTGAATTTTTAAAACTTTCACATCAAAATTATCAACAACAAAATAAAAGACACGTATTCGTTTTACCGCCAACAAATTGGAAAATAAATAGAAAGTACCTAGCGCGCTTAATTGCCTTAATTTATTACTTTACTTATCGGGAAAATTATACATATACCATCATTTTAAACACACAAATCAAGAAGGCACAGATTAAACGCCTATAAGGCAATATGGGAATACCTAACCTCAAAACAAACGTCAATCTTGACATATTTCACATTAGCAAAGCCTACTTGTGTTTGAAGCATTTGCACTGCAAGGCACACCTTGGGCATTGTTTTCTTAAATCGTAAATAAACACAATGCAGGGAATACAAATTCAGTTCAAGAAGAATGCGTACAATTTGATTAACTGTACCAGTAAATATTAAAATTCGATACACAGTCACAGAAAATGATCGTGAGGAATTTAGCGCAGAAAATTACTGAACATGGCATGACAATGTTTGGTACTTAATGATATATTTAGATTTTAATGTTACCAATCCATTTTAAAACGGTCAACATTATATGTATGTTTACAGTTAGTTTGTTTACCTTAACTTTTATTTAAAATATCATAATATATTATACAGTATAAGTATGGAACAAGTTCTTTGAAAATTTCGGATTTTTTCTCAAAAAAATCCGCATGGTACTATTACTACCTATAAGTTTAATTTAATTTCAATGATTTTTTCATAAATAACTTGACAGAATAAATTTTTGTAGCTATTATAATGCATTTTTCTACTTGTGCATTTTTCTGCTTAGGTTTTGTTTAAAAAAATTGCTAAAGGAATTCTTAAAAACTGACATTGTAAAAATATGGAGTTTTTTGCTTCAAAAATACAGTTTATCAAGTTCTACACTTTAAAACAAATTCAGTTAAAATCGCACAATAAACATTTTACAAACAAATGGGCCACACTGTATATTATAATATACCATATTATAGACTTTTGTTAACATGGCAACAGTATTTTCATATAGTATTCTTTGTAAAATGCTATTTTACTTTTAATTTTATTTTCTTATTTATGTTTAATTTTGTCTGGAGCATCGAAGCAAGACGTAGACCACATAAATTAAAAATGTATGCAATTACGTTTTTTTTTAACAAATTAGAACCAAATAGAATAACTACCTTCCGTTTAAAAACAGTTATATGATGAAATGAATTAATTAATACTTAATTACATACCTATTTTATGTACCTACGTAGACAGTAAGTACTTGATAAACTGTATTAACGAGGTCAGAAGTATGTTTATTAAAATTTGTATAAATTTTTAAAATTTTAAGCTAAAAAAAACGCGGTTGTTTATGACGAACTCCAAACGCATTTTTTAACCCCTCAATTCTTTCATTTTCAGAGTCTCCCAGAAAGTATGTGGAGAACGAGGTGACCATTCACTACAGGACTCCTGTTCGGCAAGAGATCAAGGAGTTCCTGAGCGAAGACGAGCTGGCGCACAAGCAGGCCGAGGCGATGAAGAAAATCTACCAGGAAGAACGAAGGAGGAAATACCTTCAGGTTAGCACTTCTCTTCAAGTAAGTTAAATTAAGCTGGGTAGGGCTATCGTGTGGAGGCTTCTTTTAATTTTAACTATGGACCATATATATTTACTTTGGCGTTTTTTTAAGTATTCCATTTTTTTCCATTGGCATAACCTAATTTTTCATTACGTTTCATGAAATGTTACAAAAATAAATTACAAAAAAATATAACAAAACGTCTATTAAAACCCAATTTTTTTCCTAATTTTATATTCTATAAGTACGCTAAAGAAGCATCGCTAGTAGCACTACCATGCAATAGGTATCAATTATACCTATTAGATACAATAAATACACATTTAAGTCATGATTCAAACAGCGCCATGCATAATTAAAAGCGGAGTCTCCACTCAACAGTAAAAAACCAAAAACGGGTATTATATTAAGTATTATTATTATGTATTATCACAATATTATGTGGCCATAAATATATTTTGTCGTGTACTATTTTTAAATGCAGTTGTCAGCGTTTTTTAGAGGAATAAAATATAATAATGTTTGATTTTAAAATTTAAGGACTAGGATTTTTTTTTAAATGTCCAAACTTAAATATAAATTATATTAGGTAAAGTTATCATTAGTTAATTCTGCAACAACAAATATACTTACTAAATTATATCCTTTATGAAAACATGAAAATGCAACGATTTAGTTCTTGAATTACATTTATAATTAAAAACACAATAATTCACCATGATTACTAAGATAAAATACAGCCACTAATGTAACTATAGTAATTTAACTTGAAACTTTGTTAGTAAGCATTTTACGAATCATTCGACTAAAAATAGGTAGATTTTGTCTAAAACATCTTTTCATATTTGTAATAGATGGGGCAGCAATGAAAAAAAATCAATAATTGATTATTATGATCGATTTTTCTTCTTTACGCTTTACGAACACACAGCGTTGAGTTTCTTAAAAAAAATCAATAATTGATTATTATGATCGATTTTTCTTCTTTACGCTTTACGAACACACAGCGTTGAGTTTCTTAATCAATGATATACGGAATAATAAATCGAAATCAAGTACCAAGCCAAAGTTTTTTATTTTTACTTGCAACGCGAAAAGCTACTTATTTATTTAAAAAGTATGTTCATTTTCTATGCTTTAAATGTATTATATATAATTCTTGAATTCCCATTAAGCTTCTTTAGCGTATTTTAATACAAGTTTCATGAAATACTATCCCCATAAAAAACGTCAAAAAATATACAAGGGCTTTATTTTTAACAATTCTAATACCTTAAAAAAGTTGTAAGTATATTTTTATTTTCTTTTTTTTTGAGTTTTTAATATGATTAATGTTAATTTGATAGTTTTATAATAAGTTAATTAGTTAATTATGCACTTTTATGCAATTCTACCTTTCCTTTTTTTACTTAAAGCGCAATAGATCTCCTTAGGGTAAATATAAACAGAATGAGTCATAATACAGTGTATATATATGTAGGTATATATTACTATAGTAATATATTTATCAAACACTTGTCTAACAACCTAGCGTTTTCTGGAAGTAGCAAATTTAATTTGTTATTATAATGACTTGTGGCCGTATGCACAAAGCATAGTAAAGATTAGTTGGACCTACAAACTTTTATATACAGTGTGACCCATTTGTTTGCGACTCACCCCTGTAAAATCTTTATTTATTGTGCGATTTTAACTACTTTATATGTCAGTCTTTAAGAGTAAAATTTTAAGAATTTATATTAGCGATTAAAAAAAATCTATGCACGACACTGGATTCACCACCCCTCAAAATGACCCTATACTAACTCAAAGATTTTGTAGCTAAATTAAAAATGCCCAATAATTGCTATTTTATTCCATGAAAAAAATACTAATAGTAACATTCTTTGCGTCATATTTGGGGTACCTACATTTATTTATATTTTTAAATCCCCAAAATTCAACGCACAATTAAAATCATTTTACATTTAGTTTGATCCTTTTTAGATAGAACTCGATTTAAATAAAAATAAAATAAATCTTAAATAAATATAGCTATCTTCAAAAAGCCTTCCCTTATAGGGAAAAGCATTTTTGGGTTAAATCGATCTAAAATCATCCCTAAGACTTAAACACCCTGTATATTGCAACACTGAATATGTCGATATGCCCGATGAATAAAAGTTACATAAATAATAAACATTTATATTGTTGACAGTTGATTGACAAACACTAAATTATCTTTTAATACCCATTGAGCATTACAAATTTCATGTGGAGACTCCAGCATAAAACATCTTTTTTACTTTCACTGTGAATTATGCTTCTATATCGGATTTAAACGGTTTTTAGTCCATTTTTACATTTTTATTAAGACGTCGTTCTATAAAAATATTTAATTTAAATCATTTTTAAATAATAATAAGTATGTCGTAAAAATTTATATTTATATCTAATTAGACGTTTTTGGTACAAAATATTTATGTAACAAATTGTTGGTCCAACAAATCCTAACTATGCGCTGTACATTATTAACACAGTTAGTGTATCTGGTAGACCAATAACGCGCACTATGTATCTTAAATTCGCAAATAATTTGTAACGATTACTTAAATCTCAATCTTAATGTATGTAAGTAGAATGACTAATGTTTAAGACATTAACTAATAGTAGTTTACTTATTTAAAAAAATAATAATTATGTCTTTAGGCAAAAAATGTTGCAACAACATTCTTCTGTAATTTCAAGTAGTAACATTCATTTTATTGTTTTGATACAATCTACAATTATTATTGGTTATTTGATGGCTTTACACCTGTAGTTATGTATGTTTTTTTTAGATAATAGTAGGCATTGTGAAATTACACTGAAGGTTTTAGAATCAAGCAACAGTGTTTTGCAATAAATAAGTATGTAATGAAGGTCCGATTTCTAAATCATTTAAAACATTCCTGGTATGTTTGATTTTATAATGAGAGGAAACTACATAATACGTATATGTATACAGTGTGTTTTACGTTCGTGGTCCATTAAAGGTTTCTGGGGAACGGCAAAAGAAATCAATTTGAAATTTCAAAAAAAAATTCCTTAAAAAAATATTAGGATTGCGGTTACGGTGGAGTTTTTGAAACCGTAAAACAATGTTTAAAACTTTTTTATTTTAAATGTAACTTTCTGTATGTTTTTACCCCATCAAATAGTAATTATTCTCTATACCCAAAGTTAATAATTTCAGAGAGCTGGCTAAATTCATCGTTTCGGAATTATTATTTTATTTAATGAAAACGCTATTTTCTAGTTAATTCGAGGTTCATCCCAAAAATTTGGTATTTTACCTAGTGTCATGAAACTGGAGTGACCTTCATAAAGTGTAATTTAAAACTTTTTAAGATATTTAAAATATGTAGAGTAAAATGTAAATTCCTATAATTTAAAAAAAATTGTAACGATCGAAAAAATTTTGGCCAAGTTATCGCATTTTCAAGAACAAGAATTCTATGTGAAAATAAAAAATGTAAAAATATTTGGGGTGTTTTAAATATTTAAAATAAAATCTTTTTCCGTTCTACAGAAACTTCTAATGGACCACGAATGTGAAACTCTGTATTATATACACTAGTTTACAAAATCGAAAAAAATTCTGCCTACCATATCCCATTATAATTTTTCTATGGATTTTGACCCATTAAAGACGAAAATCACACTCAATTTTATTTATGGAAGCGTTTTTAAAATATGAATTTTCAATTGTTTTTTTTTTAATTATTGGAGGTGTTTTGACGTTTTTGAGTATAGCTTAAAATCTAATTGATCGATTTGGTCAAACAAGCCCTTAAATTAAAGGTATTTAAGCCCTCTAAAACTTTCTTTTACATACTTTTGATATCGGATAAGTATTTAACTTAAAAAATTCGTTTTTATGGCAAAAATTTACATATCGTCCTGGGAAGGGTTTAAATCAAACAGATAACTCCAGTTTAAATTTTTTTTCGTGAAGCTGACATTTTTACAAAATAAACAAGCTAATGTTGATAAAAATACATGAAAAAATGGCGAAGTTATGAATTTTTTAGTGGAAGACCTAAATTCAGCTTTTTGACGATTTTTATTTTATTTGACATGACTCGGCAAACGTGAATTCTTTTGTTTCTCGTGTTGGCATAGTGACATTTTACTGCTATTTTTTGATATTTCAACAAGGTATTTTTATCATGGCTTTATTTAGTTAATAAAAAGTGTATAATGAGTAAAAGGAAGCAGAGAGTTCGAGTGCGTAAATAACCCGGACAATCTGGGTGACGTAAGTGATGAGCACGGAGAACGTTTTCACCAGCAAATGAAGGCTATGGATCGGCGGTATCACGGCTTCTGGGATGCAGCTATGATGGGTGATGACATTTGGTCTCTAATACGAGAAACGGAATACGAAAGCAACAAAGAAAGAGCCAGAATTTTTTTAAACCTATGCTTATTAAAACAAAATAACACTTTCAATTTCTTCAATGTTTAATATATAATTTAATTTCAATGTTTAATGTTTAAAATAAAAATCAATGTTCAATATTATATAATTCAATAAAATAAAGAAAAAACGTAAAAATTCTCGAAAAACTGAATTTTGCTCTTCCACTGAAAAATTCATATCTTCGCCATTTATTCATGGATTTTTATCAACAGCAACTTGTTTTTTTCCTTTAAGTATAATCTATACGTAAAATAAATTAAACTGGACTGAATCTTTTCGATTTCTATCTTTCCCGGAAAGATATGTAAATTTTCGACCTCGATTTTTATAAAAACAAAAAGGTTTTTTTCAACTTTTGAGCAGATACCAAAACTATACAAAAGAAAGTTGTAGAGGGTTCAATTACCTTTTATTTAAGCGCTTGTTTGGTCAAATCGATCAATTAGAACTTTAAGTATACTCTAAATTTTAGCCTTACTCAAACTTTTTTTTTCTTGGGCCAACTATGTATGACTGCTACCTTAGGCGGGCCGCAACGACCTATATTACAATAAAACTCAACATTTAAACGTTATAATTTATTTCAAAATTAATGACATCTTGATTGTTGAAATTGTGGCAACTTTTGACAATTTTAGTTAAATTCGGCTACATGCTACTCTAAACACGTCGTCAAGGTGTGAATCAGTTAGCCGACATCAAACACATTGCATATGTGACACGGTGTCACTGTCACTGTCACTGACACCATCCGAAAAAACAAACCTAGCATCCAAAAATCAAATTTTACATAAGGCGATTGAAGTTCGGGTGGCATGCCGCGGCATAGGCGTTTGTGTAGTGAAGCTCGACTTCAAAAAATAATAATACTTAAAAAAATGTTAATCTGAAAAATCATTGTTTGGACGCTACCTCCCTTTCCTTGGATTGCGTCCAATATTTCATTTCAGCGTTTCAAAGTTATCGGCTACCAGGTACACCTTACTACCTTTTAAAATTCTTTCTATCCTTTTTTGTTCAAAAATTGCTTCCAAATTTGAGTCGGTTTTTAAATTCAATACATTTATTCAATAACTGCGTTGTCAAATCCCAATGCAGAAAGTTGTCTCACAGCGGCGCGCCGCGGCGGTTTGTAAGTGCCAGTGATTTTAAACTAAGGCAAGATTAACAAATAACTTTTTGAGAGTGCTTGCCTACTCGCGTCCCGCGACTTTAAATCTCCACCATTTCTTACAAAAACGTATTAAAGGGCCTCGTCTTACGCCGTGTTTCAAACTCGTCAAAGTTGGAAAGATTACACTGTTGGCCGGTCCACGAACAATAAAAATCTCGTCATATTACAGAAAAAATATTGCCATTCTTTATCTCACAAGGCTGTGTAAAAAAGTGTTTTACATTATTTGGGCATTTTTTATCTAAAAATTACTGTGGCTAGGCTTTGGGCCGCAAATAAAGAATTGGCGGGCCGCATGCGGCCCGCGGGCCGCAGTTTGAGTATAGCTGCTCTAAAACGTCAAAACACCTCAGAAAATTAAAAAAATAATTGAAAATTCATATCTCGAAGTGTGATTTTCGCGTTTAGTGAGCCAAACTACACAAGAAAATCATATTGAGACATGGTGGGCAAAATGGCTGTAAACTAGTGATATTTTCTTATTTTTTTTTCGAATACGCACTGCAACTATTACTCGAAGAGGAAAAAATATATTGAAAAAAATGTGAAAAAAACATATTTTTATAAAAAATTACAAACTATTTTGGGAACCCACACTAGGTATATAAACATAAAACTAACCATGATTTATCTAATTCTTAGGAACTCCAGGACATGAACCGTCGCCGGCACACCGACAACTTCATCCCCTCGCAAAAGTCCCCCATCTCCCTGAACCGCTACGACGATTTCGAGGAGGCGGCGCCCAGCCGCCCGCGACCGCGCTCGCCTGAGCCCCGCCTGCTGGCGCGCGCCCTCTACAACTTCGTGGGCCAGACGGCGCGCGAGCTCACGTTCCGCAAGGGCGACTTGATCCACGTGAGGCGGCAGGTGGACAAGAACTGGTACGAGGGCGAGCTGAACGCCATGGTGGGTTTGCTGCCTGTCAACCATGTTGAGGTGAGGAGGGGGTGTGCTTGAAAAAAGTTTTTTATACATTGTTTATTTTGAAAGAAAATTACGCCAAGTCTAAAAAGGCCAGCACAAGTTGTTTATGGGTGAATATATTGAGATGTCCCCTAAGTGAAAATGATTATTTTTTATTTTTGGTTGTTTCACTGTTAAGCCTGAATTATAGATTGCCTTCCTTCCTTCCTTCCTTCCTTCCTTCCTTCCTTCCTCCCGTAGAAGATGAACAATACGAAACCCAATAAACATTTTTGACGTAATTGTCACCATTAACATTTCCCGTGTAAGAATTTTTAATACTTTGTGATAATATTTTGCAATTATAGTAAAAAAAAATCAAAGGATAAAATATTTTCTTTACAAAATCATATTTTGAAGTTATTTTAATATTTTAAAGTATCAATAATTGTTAAGTTTAATAAAAATTAATAACGTGTAATGTTAATGGTGACAATTACGTCAAAAATGTTTATTTATAGATTCCCAAACTATAAGGACGGCATTCCTTCCTCCCGTAGAAATTTTTAAGTTTTATCTTTCACCGTAAAGGTCTTTGACATGACCAATCACAGTGCTTGTTATGGACATGCGCTTTGGGGTGACAGCGCGTAGGCACAAAATATTTAAAATACATGATTGTTTAGTATTATTTAAGATAGGTATTCAGTTTATTTAATAATTTGTGTCTCTAAATAGGATATTTAGATATTGTTTATGATCAATGTCTTTCATTTTTAGAAACGTTGCTTTGTAAAACCCCGTAGTTTCCCGGTCTTGGTAAAGTGGGCGAGTCTTCCAACGTCTTGTTCGATGTTTTTTTTCATTATACTGCCCTACTATGAAGAAAGGCAGTAACTACAAAAAATTCTAAATGCGTTTTCTTGTGCTATGCATATAATATATTATGATAAAGCTATGGACATTTTGTATCTTAATTCAACAAATAAATGCAGTAAACTATCTTATAAGTTAAATAAATCAGTTAAATACCTACTGCTTTTTATAAAAATGTAGTATATGCTAATTTCCCACAAATTTCTTGTTTAGCAGTTACTGCCCTTCTCCATAGTTGGGCAGTATACAACAAACTGCCTGGGCAATTAAAATTGTGATCACTGCACTAATATATAAATGTTTATCTTTCATATTTACACACAATGGGTAAAACGCAGAATATAAACAAAAACAAATGTCAACCATTTTAGGTGTCATCGCGCATGGTTACGGAGTTTTACACGGAAATCTATAAATTGACTTTTTACAAGACGCACAAATCGTACGGGCACGATTACGGGAGGAAGGAAGGAAGGCAATCTATAATTCAGGCTTTAGTCTAGAATGGGGTTTTTGGAAAGCCAACAGCAAAGATAATACACCCCATAGATTGGAAACTGGCTAAAGTAAATTAACGCCATCTAGGTCTACAATACCCTTAGCAATGCAAAAATTGAAGTAGATTTCTGTAACATATATTGGCGCCATATTTGAATGTTGATGCTTCGTAGGGTGCCTTTATATATTGTATTTACTGCTGTATTTTAAATAAAATCAAGTATGAATATAAGATTTATTTATTGTATTAATAATATAATATTAAATAAAATACATACATCTATATATACATATTAAATACATAATCGGTATACATGAATATGTTTTTGTTTGTGGAGTGCAAACCTAAAAAATATTAGTCTTAATTCTTTAATAATAAGAGAATATTGCAAAATTTGGTAATTTAGTCCAGGCTACTTATACATATACATAAAGGAATTTGTACAAGGCGTTTGAGTGTGGACTTTTGGCAAGTTCTAACCAACCGTGAAAAATCCATCTTGCCAACTATTGGTTTTGAAACAACCATAAGTAGCCTGGGCTTGGCCTGGACTAAATTACCATTAAACAAGCAATCCTAAATAATTCATAATTAACAAACAGTATTTTTACGCTAGAGCGATACTGCCGTGCTTAGCCAAAAAGACACAACTCCACATTTTAACTTTATAAATTATAGCGCTTTATTGTTTTTTTCTAAGATACGTTCAATTTAATTAAAAATTTTTGGGAGCTATAGTACTCAAAAATGTATGTATAGTTAAAATGCGTCTTTTTTCTAAGAAAATAATTTAATAATAACGAGATGAGTCTTTTTGGCTTAGGACGGCAGGATAGTCAATACTTACAAATTGGTTACATTTCCGCGCCCAACAATAATACATTTCCCAACCATTAACACGTTTTATCACTTTTAAGGCGCAAAAATGTATTTAATAATTCAAAAATTATTATCGACATCAATTGACATTTGCAAATAGCGTTTGTACAGATGTCTGCAATTTACAAATAGATATAGTTCAGGTATTGTATACAGCTATAGCTCTAGAGGGCAGTGGTGGGAGAGTTTCCTATATATGGGGTGTATTATCTTTGGATATTACACATAAATAAAACACATTAAATTAAATTAAACACATCCAAAGCAATCGAATCAAATATAAAATATTATTAAAAATTAAAAGAAATAATTTTAATAGCCATTTATGTAGGTGTTAAAAAAATTTATTCTAACCTCCGTGAATCTGTTTTTGCTTTAAATTTTATGCAACGGATGGCGCTTTAATCATTTTAAATAAGCAAAAACCTCTGTTTACGACATTATAGATGCATGTGATTCCTGAAGGTCAGTTAGAATTTATATGCAGATGAGAGTGTTGCTGTTTTATAATTCAAAAGTTTAAGTCCATTAATTTGCTATTTAAAAACCTACCCACCGTAAAGTGTAATATCTCAATGAGTAGATTTTTTTATAAATATGTTTTTTTTTTTTAAATATTAAAGTGTCAAAAGATGCAATAACTTATTTCAAAAATACAAAGGGATGGTTTAAAAAAACATACGAAATCATAACCTATGTAAAGCTATCTTCCGTGAAGCACTAATATTTAAAATGTATGATTTCTTAAAATTATTGCATTAGTGCAGAACCACTTATGTTATGTTATTACTAGACCTGGTGGCTTCCCAAAAACCCCATTCTAGACTAACAGTGAAACAACCAAAATAAAAAATAATCATTTTTACTTGGGGGACATCTCCATATATTCACCCGTATAAGTCCTTTAAAGGGGACTTTAAGCCCTAACTCGCACAAGCAATTCAGTTAGCTTGTGGGACTTCTTAGGATGTAAGGATGGAACTTAAAGAGCACTGTTGTATATATAACTTTAGTATGCGTATTTTTTTATAAATTAAATGAAACCTCTAATTACCTGTAATTTTTATAATTTTGACACAATTTTGATAAGTTTCATATATTTTTTTAAATAATTCCCTTTAACGATATCCTAAAAAATCATTTAAAATATTTTGTAGATGACCTTAATTTTGAATTAGATTAAATTTAATTTATATGCTAAACTGCGTAATTACAAAATACGTACATTGGCGATAAAAAAATGTAAAATTACTATTTACGCATTTATAAAATGCAGGGCTCCCACGGCTAAATTACAGTTTTTTTTTAGGAATTTAGGAGGTTTTTTGGATAATTTTAGGGGAATTTTATGAGAAATAAAGTATGCAAATGATTTTTTGTAATTAAATAAAAAAACTACATTGTACTTAAAAAAATAGGAAAAAAATAAATAAGTCTTTTTAACAAAACTATAAAAAAATATCTCTTTGATCCCCTATAATGTCTCCCCCTTTTAACTATTTTATTTTAAGTGTCTCAAAAAAATTTAAAAGTGTGGTTATGTATACCTATAGGTACTGAAAAATACTTTTTTTATGTATAAAAAAATTGGAAAATTGATCAGTATACAGGAAAAAACAAAAAGTTTATTTTTTCTCAATGGATCACCCTATATATGAATTTATTTTTCGATTCCTTGTAAAATTCTAAGCATAATTCTTATAATATACCATAAACCTAAATACAAGCGTTTCTAAAATATTTAAATTATTTTTTAGATAATAAGTTAAAATATTTTGTCTTTCTCTGTCTAAATACGGCATTTTTACTTACTTACTTACTATTTTAATAAAATAAATAATAAAAATTTAAAATCGAATAAAATCTGTAATATTTGAATTTTTTAAATAAAATTTTAAATTTGTCGATAAATTATAGTAGATAATAAATTGCACCACTTTAATTTGAATAATCTTAAATAGGGGGCATGGAGGCGGGTGAGGCACCAGGAAAAACTAACTTTTTTTTCGCAAACTTCAATTTAAATTCTCTTTGCGCAAAACTTTATTTAAAGTCATTATAAACTATTATAAATTTGGTGTGGGTCCCATGTCTAATAACTGAGATATTGGTATACCCAAAATCCACCAGCCGCCACTGAAATAATGGCATTAATGCACAAAACATAGGCGGTAATAATTATTTACTGTTTTAAGTTCAGCCACGACACGATATTTGACAAAAGTTCGTGTTCGGCTACAATCGGAACCGCTTCCACCAATCAGGCATCGCATTCCTAAAGAACGAAAGTACCTTTTTTACATGTTTATAGTTTTGAGCGCCTCTTATTTTTTACAGTCATCCCGTGTTAATAATTACTATCTTACTTAAAAAGTCAGTTTCATTAATAAAATTAAATTTAAGTAATTAAACAGTCAGGTTGGCCTATTTATATTAAATTTTTATGAGTTTTAGGAGATTGCCGGCCATTTTAGGAGAATTTTAGGAGTTTTCAAGACTTAAGCAAAATTTTATGAATTTTATGAGTTTTAGGAGGTGTGGGAGCCCTGAAAATGTTATAGGTATTTAAAAATAGTATCAATATAAATATATAAAACAATTTAAAAAATATTGCTTAAATTCTTAATTTGTTAAATTTATAACAAAATATAAATATATAAAACAATTTAAAAAATATTGCTTAAATTCTTAATTTGTTATATGTTGGCTTATATTAAAAAAAAAATAGTTAATAGTATATTATGTATCAAGACTTTATCAAACTTAGTTTGATAAACGCCATTTTACGAATTTAATTTAGGCACGAGCGAGCTTTCGAGCGAGAGCTTAATTAAATTAGTGTCTAGCAAAGTTTATAAACGAGTTGCATGCTATAGTTTTTCTACGACAAATATTTATTATTATCTAAAAAATTATTTAAATTAAATTTTTGTAAAGTAAAGTAAGCCTCCCAATAAACATTTTTGACGTAATTTTCACCATTAACACTGCCCGTTATTATTTTAAGTAATCTTAACAATTATTGATACTTTAAAATATTAAAATAAATTCGAAGTGAATATGTTAATATAATATGTTATGCTTTGATTTATTACTATAATTGCAAAATATTATCGCAAAGTATTAAAAATTCTTACACGGGAAATGTTGAAGGTACAAAACGTGGAACCGGCGTTAAAATCTTAAAGTTTTCTGTGTAAATCTAAATTTATTCCTTGAAATAGACTTACAATCGATATAGAAAGTTTTTTACAGTAAAATAAAAGATAATGTTTTAAGGGCACTATACGCAAAATTTTTAACTTATCAGTTAAATCTAGTTAACTGCACTACTGGAGTGCCAATAAAACATTGTCTTTACTTTCATTGTAAAAAACTGCTCCCATATAGGAGTAAACGGTCAATTTTCAAGGGATACATTTCAATTTTCACATACAAATTTGACATTTTGCATTTTACACTATTGTTTTATAGATGTCGCTCTATACAAAAATTTAATTTAAATCATTTTTAGATAATAGTAAGTACTCGCTCGAGCCTGAATTAAATTCGGGTCTAAAATGGCGTGTATCAAACTTGATACATAATATAATATCATATATTTACAATTTTATATAATTTCATAAGAAACATTTGTTTTTTAGATTGTGCCCCACGACGGCATCAAAGCAACAGCCCGCAAATCTTACGAGGGCCAGGGCCGGGCCAAGTACAACTTTGTGGCCCAAACGCAACTGGAGCTTTCTTTAGCGAAAGGCGAACTCGTCACAATAACCCGCAAAGTCGACCAGAACTGGTACGAAGGCAAAATCGGGGGCCGAAAGGGCATCTTCCCAGTGGCCTACATAGAGGTAAATTTTACTTTAAATGTTTATTATGCACTCACAGGCAAAATAATCGATCCACACAAATTTTCGATGAATTTCAATCGCAAATAACTTTTTTATTTGATGTCGGATTTAAACGAATATTAAAGAATATTGTAGATAAATTAATGTACAATCGCTCACATTTTAAAAAATTACTAAAAATTAGACGTACGTTTATAATATACAGGTTTAAACAAAAATATGTTTTTTACCATAAGTTTAAGACACTCTGTAGAGTGGCAAAACCGTGTATTGTTCTAAATTAAGTTTTATTTATCAAGTCACATCTATTCTTAACAGTTTCGTTTTTGGTTCACCTCGATATTTTTATTTTTGTGGAAAATATGGATTTTTTAAAAAACATTGCAATTTCCAATATTTTTCTGTATGTAGAATAGGGTGTCCCTTGATACTGATGTTAACGTTAATATTGATTAATTGATTGATTAGTTGATATTGGTATTGATTATTTGTATTATTTGGTATTAGTATTGGTATTGACTAATTGATATTTATATTGAATTTATATAGATACTAATTTAACAGGAAACCAGGCAACAATTGACCATTGCAGAGGGCAGCGTGCGTGTGAGAAGGGAAATCAAGTGGGTGCGTCGCAATATTATATTATTGTATTATATATATTATATAATATACACATAAGCTCACGCAAGCAAAGCTTGGAGGATGGAGAAAGTAAATGGGCAAAGCCCCCACGTGAAAATGAAGTGGTAGGCCATCTATTGAGGCATGCGTTGCACGCCTGACATAGGGGCCGGGTTTCAAATATTGATGCGATACACCACAGGGCCGGCTTTATCTATTTTGTATATTAATATTTTTTTTTTAAATAAATTTGAAAAAAAAATAAGTAAGAAGGCAAATTTATAAATAAATGAAAACGGTATGAACACTAATATAGCAATAAAATAAATAAAGAATATACAAGGTTGGTAACCGGAGTAAGCAAAAAACTAACATACCCACCCCCATTCACGAATACCAATTGAATGGGGATACTACTAAGGCCTAGGTTGAGGAGGATTCCGGATTGTACTTAGTTTTGGGTCAGTTCAATGTCCTCCAAAAACCCTTCCTAAACTGGACGTATGGCCCGACCCGGCTGACAAAAATCCCGGGAGCTGCCTTAACCTTTGACACTGTCATCCACGAACTCCTAGGGTGGATCTACCAGCCGGCGTAAAAACTTCGGATCCAACAAACACAGGTAATGCTGTGATTTGGCGGGATACGCAGGAGAACGGAAAGGGGGTAATATAACCCCGGGAGATCAGTGGATGATAATATATCTGGGGCTTGCCATACGTTCCTATACTCATACTCATACTCATGTAGAATAGGGTGTCCCTTATTTTTATTTTTTTTACGCATACCCTCTAATTATATTTATTACGTGTTTATATACTCTCAGTAAAAATTTCAGCTCATTCTATAAACGGGAACCCGTGCCGACTTGCATCTGAACCCTCCGTTAGCCAACGTTAGGCGCGCGGTTATTATGTGACCCTTATATTATAAATTATTGATAAATTTTAAAATATAGGTAGTTTTATTTATGTGTATACTTTGATAAAAATGTATATTTTCACAGGGAGTGGCTAGTTACCCGGAAGGGTCTGGTGAAGGCCGTAAACTCTAAAATTGATAAACTTCATGGGTTTTACTCTAAATAACTAAAAGAGTCTATTGTGAGAGATGACTACCGAAAACTTATTGAACTGTCTGAAATATTTTTGGGAGGACATCAAGAAAAGAAATGCTTATAAAAAGCTGAAATTTCATATAACAGTATATTTTAGCAATACTAATTAGTATATTAATATATTTAAGGGATAAAATCAACTAAATTAGTGAAACAAATGATAGAAACAAAAGCAATAATATTAATTAGTAATCATATTTAATAAAATCATTAGAAAAAGTCATGAAGTATATCTTCTTTTTAAAGTGTTTCGTGTTACAAAATACCGCGCGCGCCTAACGTTGGCTAACGGAGAGTTTAGATGCAAGTCGGCACGGGTTCCCGTTTATAGAATGAGCTGAAATTTTTACTGGGAGTATATAAACAAGTAATAAATATAATTAGAGGGTATGCGTAAAAAAATAAAAATAAGGGACACCCTAATGTAGAACTAAGGTTGCTGCATCCATAGGCTTTGGAGAATGACAGTGACAGTTTTGTTGAATCATCCCATACTTTGACATGTCATACACGGCTTTCAAACGCAATCAAATTGTTTTTTGCAAATTAATGTTTAAATTTTGAGGTTTCTTCTTACATTAAAAATGGATATGTCTCCGACTGATGTTGCCAGAGCCATTAATTTAATCCAGGATGGACGGTTACAGTATTACGTGGCAAGTGTTTTAAACGTCACAAGAAGTAAAGTACAAAGGGCAACATCAGTCGGAGAAATTTTTAAAAGTAAGAAGACACCTCAAAATTAACACAAAAATTTACAAAAAACAATTTGATAGCTTTTGAAAGCTGTATATGACATGTCCAAGTATGGGATAATTCAACAAAACTGTCACTGTCATCCTTCATAGGCTATGGATGGACTATAGCAACATTAGTTCTTCATACAGGAAAAATATTGGAAATTGCAATATTTAAAAAAAAAATCCACATTTTCCACAAAAATAAATATATCAAGGTAAACCAAAAAAAAAACTCTTAAAAATAGATGTGACTTGATAATTAAAACTTAATTTAGAACAATATACGGTTTTGCCACTCTACAGAGTGTCTTAAGCTTATGGTAAAAAACATCTTTTTGTTTAAACTTGTATATTATACGTGTATTTTTTAGTAATTTTTAAAATGTCAGCGATTTTCCATTAATGTATCTACAATATTCTTTAATATTTGTTTAAATCCGAAAACAAATAAAAAAGTTATTTGCGATTGAAATTCATCGAAAATTTGTGTGGATCGATTATTTTGCCTGTGAGTGTATAATATAACTCACGTTCATATTTAAAGTAGTATTCTATTTATTTATTACTATTACAAGCAGAATTCATATTGATATTGAAATTAAAGAAAAACGCTAACGGTTTATTCGAATTTGAAGTCATTGTAAAATTTGTTGGTTCATTGGAACCAGACGCTCCCATAAGGAAAACGCCGACGAATTAGAACCTTGTATTTTTTCTGCAATTTGTATTTTGTTATGAACAGATTCTTCTAGGTATCCTTATGCTACCGTCGAGGACTTCCATCCTTCATGACGCTTCAAAGTAGTCATGTTAGCCCCTGCATTAGCCAAAACAGTCGCCGAAGACCTTTTCAGGCATTGGCCGGTGTAGAGCGCTGGTTCCTCCAATTTCAAAAACATTGCAATTCTTGAAGGTATTTTCGACAATGTATTTATTCCCACACACTGGCTGGTACCTCCCATTTTTGTAAAAAAACAAAAAAGCGGCTAGAACTAGTATTCTTTGGTTTCAAAGACATGTATTTTTTACACAAATTGATCGGGTTGACTGGAAATCCTTCTTCAAGTATGGTGAAACTTCTTAATTTCTTGGTTTTAGTTTCTGGCAAAACTACGTGAAAATATTTCCCTTTGTCTTGAATATTTTCTATTTTCAAATTGACCAATTCATCGCATCTACAAGCACCGCTAATCCCCATTATCAAAGCAACTTTCATCAACAGGTACTCGTCGTCGGGAGCTTCGTTCAAAAACTTCTCTATTTCAGGTCGTTCTAATGTCTTGGACTTCTTTGGTTTGTATTCCTGTGATTTGCTTTTCAAAAAGCTCGTTAGTTTGTCATATTTGGAAATGTCGATTTTTTTATAACGTCAAGCGAAGCATCGAGTATTTGATCCATAGCGACGATGGTGCTAATTTTTTTTGCAAATGTAAAGCCAATAGAACATTTTCATCGATACCTTTTATCTTCCGTAAATTCATTCTAGGCTTAAACATTTTGAACTCCTTGTCGTAAGCATCTCGGGACTTTTCTGGCAAAATCTGCATCGCTGCTTCTTCCGCTTCCGTAAGGATATCCTCAGGAACGTAATTTTCATCGGTTTCCTCCATTTTCTATACGTTTTTTTCTTCAAAAAAGCTTCCCTCTTCTGCAGGGAAAACTGACCAGTGTCAAAATTTATTTAAACATTTGCTAACAATGTATCATGCCCGTGGCAACAAAACAAACAACCTACTTTGACCAAAATGTAAAAAAGTCACTGTCAGGCCTGACGGCCTCGTGGTATAAATCTTTCTCGCGTGACTTATTTTAAACATAACACACTAGTACCATAAATAACTATTAACTATTTTAGGTTTTGATCGACCCCCAGGACCCCCCCACCCCCAGCTCCAAACCAGTAGCGTCCCCAGCAGCCCATTCCATGTTATTAAATGGATCAGCAGGTGGCAAAGAGAGCATGGGTACGCATTCGTACACCCCGATTTTGAGCTCGACGCCAACTTCTAGTGGCAACACTTACCAGGCCAAGCCGATTCATATCACCGGAAACGGGACGTACGGGTCTTTGAATAGGTATATGAAAAGTCCGGTGAACCAGGCGCTGCACATAGAGACGCAATCTGAGACTATACCGTAAGTGGAATGTATTGTTTTGGGGATTTATACCTTAGAGGTAAGAGTGAGAAGTCTCTCCCAACTCTTATTTCTAAGGTTGTATTACTAACCAAGATTTTATGACTTGTTTTAATTAACAAAATACCAAAGGAGGATTGATATTTATATTTTATTATTGAAAAATAAAAACAATTTTTTTCTTCAACACCGATAAAGGCACTATGCTCCAAGAATTGATCCAAGTGGACATAATTGGACGATTTTGCTCAATTATGTCCGTCCGGACAAAATCAATTGTTCTGGACAAAATTGGACAAAATCATTTAAACCCAAATGAAATTCATAAAACCTTATTATAATTATATTAGGGTGTAAACACTTAAACAAAAATAAAACATAAACAACTTAAACATTTTGGTGCTGGACTGGTCTGTTATCTTATTTAAATTTAATTTTAGCAAATAAGTCAAAAATACAAAATAAAATACATTCAACTTTTAAACAAAATCCTACCTAGTTTAGAGTTTAAAGTTCAGATGTAAATAAATCTACATAAACAGAGAGACCCAAGACTACAACACAAGCAAAATGCAGATTTTCTCTGCTCTGTCTGTACAAGGTTTCAAACGGAATAAGTAATAGTGATAAGCAAATTGAAACCTGTCTAAATTTTTGTTTTTTAATACCTTGATTCTTGTATTACAGCAAAATAAATTAAACAAATAATATAATATATCATATTATGTCATAAAGGAAAAATAAATAAAAAATATATGCATAGGTAAACCACATGGTATACTATTTATTTAAAATTTATATATGCCGTTGTTTTAAAGATTTTAGTTTTTTTCTTATAAATATATAAAAAGTATAATTTGTTTGTTTAAACTTTATTTACGTTTACTTAAAAATAAGAATATTTGAATTTTTTATAATAGTTTTACAAAAAAGTATAGTAATTGGACACATGGACCATAGTTATTGGACATTCTGAAGGTAACTACTAATTTCTTGGTCTGACTTCTTAAATAGTTTGTTGCAAATATCATTAAGTGTGGTATCTCTAGTTTGTGAAGCATTTATAATGTTTAGGTCGGAACAGGATAATTTATATATATCTAATATTTTTTCGTTTGGTATGTTAAAAGTATTTTCCGAATTTATTAATTTTGTTGCCATTAGTTTTTTATGTTCTCTATCATGTACTGTATTTAAATCACTTTTATTCTGCAAGATGTCCTGTGACTAAGAAATCACTACATTACTTACTCCACACTACATTACTTACGCCACTAATAATTCTCGTCAACAGCAATTTATATCAAGGACATTTAGCAGTCAATTCCTTTGAAATATTATTCGCTGAATCCGAAATTTCGGACATTTAAATGTCGTCACAACTTATAAAAGAACAGTTTTTAAAATATAATCAATTTTACATATAATATGGAAGTGACTATATCTCAAAAACTGCTTAACTTTTATAGTTTTTGAAGGTCTTTTCGGATTCATGGGACAATTGGCTGGTAAGTGTTCGGGATATAAATAGAGTATGATATTGTCCTGTAATAGAAGTTTACATTTTTTCCCAACCAGTAATTGGACATTGGCCATTTCAGAATAAAATTAAATCGCATTAAAGTGACAATGTTTAAACCATGAGGAACACATTTATACCACACATTGATCTGTACACTTTTTAGAAATATTTTTTATTGTAATTTAAACACAGCCCTGCTCTTAACAAAAAAAACAAAAATCTTACCATCAAAGTAATGTGCGAACTTTTTTGTCCTATATTGGACCCAAAATAAAGTAGTTCTATATTATTACCGACTGAGATAGTTATAATTAAATACAGCGTCATCTAATGATTTGACTTTAAGGTAACTATTTATAGAACTGTTGTTTTTACAGTATTAAAGTTAATTGTCCAATAACTCTACTTTTTTTGTGGTAAAATTTTTTGTATTTTTTGTGATACTTTACCTACATATAATAAGTAGTAGGTTACCTAATATAATATAATTATAATAGTACTATTACTTGGTAGGTAATAGAAAAAAAACAAACAAATTTAATAAAATATATTTTCTATATAGTATAAAATTTGATTTTGTCCAATATTGCCCGATTTTGTCTGTTTTTGTCCAATTTTGACCACGTCATGGACAAAATAAAAAAAAAGTGGACAAAATCACAACCCTGCTATGCTCCATGGTACATGCTCTGCTGCTGAACCCGTACCTGTGTTTGCTGGGCATTTTAAAAACATATTTTTATAATCACTAAATGTTACGTTAATAAAATAATCCGTGACGACATACTTATATTAATAAAAACCTTATACTAATTTTATCATACAACTGTTTTGGTAAAAATTAAATCGTAATAAACAAATAATTAAAATTACACAAATTATATCTTTATTACATAAAAAGGATTATCGAATTCATCACGAAGTTATTATTTATTATTGTTTAAATTTCATAATATAAGTTTTTTATTTCGCTTCGGAAAATTACCCAACAAACGTCTGCAAAACAATTATTTTGGAAAGTAATTTTTTGGTCACAAGAAATATTTTTAGGTTCTATAAGGGTCCTACTAAAGGGTACTACAGGACCAAATTTGTCTAAGGTCCTGAAAAGGTAAATGAATAGAACCTGTAGGAAGGACCTCATAGATTTGTTTAGGAATTAGATTAGCCAATATGAATTATTATATACAGAGTGTCAAGAAAATGGTGTTAATGTGAATTTTTTTAATAATATTCAAGATAAATGACGGCAAACTAGGAAAAGCTCTTTTTGCCAAGACTCTGTATATTATAAAAAATTGTTAGATCCATCTTTCTTGCAAAAAAAAATAAATCATATAATTTGATATCAGCAAAAACAACTTTAATTCTGTTTATAAATTATTTAATTATTTTTTTTAGATATCGTGCATTATACAAATACAACCCCCAAAATGATGACGAGTTGGAACTGCTAGAGGGCGACACTGTATACGTATTAGAAAAATGTGACGATGGTTGGTTTGTAGGATCAAGTGACAGGACAGGGGCGTTTGGGACGTTTCCAGGAAATTATGTTGAAAAAATATAGCGATGAAAATGTATTATTTAATAATTTTCCGGTTTATCCCAAATTAAAACTGCCATCGGATTTCAAAATTGATACTAACACCTTTAAAATTAACCCAGCAAAATTCTACACTGAGCAACAAAATTCGTTGAACGGTTTTTATTATTAACAAATACAACTTTGCTAACAAAATGTCATTGCCATAATGTCGTTTCGAAAATTATGTTTCTCTCTAATATTAAGCTTTGTAGATTACTGTAAAAAAATAGTTTATACAAAAAATACATAAGCATCTAGTCACTAGCCAAATAATGTTAGTTTTTAGTTTATAAAACATACACCAAAAATGTCCATATATAAAATACGTTAAGATATTTAATAAATAAAAAATATATACTCGATTTAGATTATAGTTACATAATTATTAAAATGATCTTCCAGTAAAAATTAATATAATAATTATTAACATATCTTTTGTAGTACCTACATTTATATATTCACATGTTCACTTCTCTAGAAATTAATCGTTTAAATTATGAAAGCATTTGTTAATATATACGGGGTGTTTGGTATGTCCATGCAAATATTTTATGACATAATATGTCGTTTTTTGAAAATGTTGGTACTTGTATTAGAATATTAAACACCCTGTGCCTATTTTAGATATAATAAACTAAAAAGTTGAAATTTTATGACGTGTTTGTGCGTTTAACCCCTTTATATAAATAAGACTTAACATAGGAGTGCCTTTACAATACAATACCTATTAATATGATTATGTATTCTTATTACTTATTATTATTATTGTTGTTATTTTTACAGCGTTCATAGTTTATTTATATTTACACTCTGGTATATAAAAAAGTGATTATGCTTTCATATTGTCACTTACCTATGTTTATTTATAACAATTGTTTTACATTAAAAATATAACGTTAAAAAATGGCTTTATTTAATCCGTTCGTTTTTAGTTCACAGAAGTTACAATTTTGGAAATGGTTACTTATAAAAACAGTAAATTGGTGACAGCTTTAATATTTTAGCGAAATATTTATAATTGTCGAATTTGTAATACTGATGAAATTTGAATGTTTTAAAAATGGCGGATGCGCCGGTATAAATTACTATTACTATTTAACTACGGTTTCGCGAAAGGATCGAAAGGTCGATTTGCAAGGGTTCAATAAATCGATTGAAATTTTTTTACCTTATTTCTCCATCTAAATGCACTACTTTTTTCAAAAAAAAATCTCGTCCATTGACAACTTTGTTTTTATTTTATTTTTTTTCTTCACTGCGTTAAAAATAAAGAAATTTCATTTTTTAATAACTTTTTTATTTCAAAACGTATCGATTTAAAATTTGGACAAAATGTAGATCTTACTAATGACAATTAATCCATGAAAAATTTTTGTTTAGATTTTAACTTACAGGGGGCGCTGGTGCTAATTCAATTTTAAAATTTAAATTTTAAAGGGTAAATCATCGAAGAAGCAACTTTGTTTTATAAATTTTTAGTATAACACGTTGAAGTATTGATATTTGACTATATTTTGATATTTTAAATTTTATGCAAATGATGTTTCTGTGGCCAGGATCAGTTTTGAATTAGCAGTAGCAGTATTCATAAATGTTTAGTTTAGTACATTTTGTCATTTTTATACAAATATTGCTGTATCTTTTATTAATAACTAAGTATAGCATAACACATAAATGACGTTTACTATACAGGGTCTCGCGTACGTACTCCATTAGAAGTTTCTAGGGAATCGCGAAAGACATCGATTTAAAATTTTAAGGCCTGAAAACCACAGCGGTGAATGGATGAAATTTTTTTTTGGGCGTTTTAAAGGACAAAAAACAAAAATAATTGAATTTAATCAAGCTGATATCAATCCCAATACATTTTTTTTACTAAAATATCCACGCTGTTTAAGTTTGATATTACAAAACGTCAATAACAAATGTAACATTCTTTGGTTTATAGTTTGCTATTAGAAAAAATATATTGAGATTATATTAACAAACGTCCTTCTTATCTATTAATACACAAAAAATAATAATTCTGATAAAACATTTTAATTGGATTTAACCAGTAAACATTGCAGATAAATCAATAACCTTAAATTATGCAATAACAATTTGTACTTTTTTTAATGTTAAAATAAATTTTGGTAGTCAAAATTGTTTTCTATAATATGCCAAATAATTTTTATAATTAATGAAAAATTAAAAGTTACTAGTTGGGGATGTTTTTTTTATTAATAATTTAAGTTGTATTGGTTACTAATTTATATTATTGTTATTAGAAACAAATAAAAATTAACATAAATATCAAGGATTGTTTTAGATATTTTTGTAAAAAAAATTACGATAATGAGGAAGTTAACATTGACGCATTTATTTATGACGTCCAAAACAATAATTTTAAAATAAATTAAAAAATTATTTAACGATTTAAAAAAAAATATTTTGAGATTAAAATTCTGGTACATTAGATTCTTTTTCGTTTCATTTATTATTTTACGTCTTAAAAAAATAAGAAAAATTATAAATACTGTTTTGTGTAAAAAATGGCGAATGCGTCGGGATTCATTTCTTATATTAAATCTTTTTTTTCTACGATAATTAAAAAAATAATAAAAATAAGACACATTTTAACTACCTAGAAGGGTGAATTTTAATAAATAAAACAAAAAAACATTACATGTGAGTATGAAAGTTTAAACTGAACTTTCACCTTATGTATTTGTAATTTAGTAATTAGTTATGCAATAAAGATATATTATTATTATATTGAGCCAGATCACGTTAAGTGTACCCCCATTTTCCACTTGGTAATAAAGTTTAAATTTTAATACATCAATAGCTATTACCTAGTCATTAGTAACAAAATTCCCTTAAAATGTTTTTTTAATTTTAATTTTAATAGCGTTTTTTTGTAACAAAAACTGTCGACAATTTCGTAGTAAAATTTGCAGAACTTATATGTATTTTTATGAACCAATTAAATTATTTTTTTATATTTTTCTTTTTTTTAAACTTTGAAATATACAATTTTTGATAGTTTCTATTGAACAATAAGGTTTTTTCTGGGTTACATGTATTAGATATTTAAGTTTTATATTAGGGTGGGTTGAAAAAAAATGTTTGTTTTTTTTCTTAGCCTGGGGGTAGAATTTGTACATCATAAAAAAAAAAATTTATCAAAAAAAAAATTGTACTCAACATCTAGAGGTGGCCAACTCGTTTTTTAAATAAATATTTAATCAAATGGGGTAGTTCCAACGGGAAATTCTTTTTAGGTCCAAAATCGTGGAAAACATGTAAAAATTGTAGAATGTGATTTCACCCAACTTTCATTCTAATACAAAAGAACGTGCATTTCATTTTTTAATTTTTTACTTAAATTACAAAAACAATGGGAAAAAAAGTTTTTCAACTTTTGACTTCCAATTGACTTTTGAGGGGAAACTCTACAGATGCTAGAACGAAAAAAAGAATTTCCCGTTGGAACTACCCCATTTGATTAAATATTTATTTAAAAAACGAGTTGGCCACCTCAAGATGTTGGGTAAAAATTTTTTTTTGAAAAATTTTCTTTTTTTGTGAGGTACAAATTCCACCCCCAGGCTAAGAAAACAAAACAATTTTTTTTTCAACTCACCCTATTTTATATCCTAAAAAAATCACTGGCATTCATTCCCATGCATTCCTTAAAAATTTGGAGGAATCCATATATGCATAGGTCTTTAGCGTTTATTTTGCCGCTCTAAAATTTAAGGGGACGCAAATGCATAGTTTGTTTTGCGTTTGTTTTTGCTACTCTAAATATTATTGTGCTCTTTAACGTTGATTTTAATATTTTTATTAATAAATGTATCGTCTTATTTCATAATTATTTCATGAATAACCAATAAAATAATTTGATGGATTAATTAGATTTTTAAGATATTATTGTGCTTTTTTTATCTACAAAATTGATATTTAACAGATATAATAGAGGGAATTGATTGGTATAAGAAATAATAATAATAATAATGTGTGTTGTTTTTTAATTAAATGTTCCAATTTTTCCAAAATAAAAAAATAATTTCCAAGAATATATTTTTCGGAAACACCCTAAGTAGCACAACTGGTTAAATAACTATCAAGTAAATTTACCAAAATGTGGGTAAAATTTTTAACTTGTTTTTAACCAATTAGTTATACGAGTATTCAACCATTAAATTTTTTTTTAAGGTTACAATGAACTAAAAATAATCCTTTAAATTTACCAAACGGTTGCACATAGGTTATTTTAGAAGTTACTTAACTTAACTTAACTTCTAATTTTAACCTTTGAAAATGGTTAAGACTAGTTAGTTTTTTGGACATATTTTGGTTTTTTTGATATTACTTTTTCTTAAATTAACCACAGCTTTGGTTAATTTGGATATATAAAAAATAATAACGTTATAAAAATCAAATTCATACTATTTTTTTTTAATTTTGTACTTATAATTTAAAAAAATTAGAATTATAAAAATTCAAATTAAAAAAATATTTTAAATAGTAGTTTATTATTAGACATTTTTTATACTTTTCTAGGTACTTATTTACAGTAGCCTACCTATAAATATTTAGTAGTTTCATTCCTTTCAAGCCTTTATTTAGAACGTGCTTTAGAATGAGAATGTTTACAAATTTATGGCGTTTTTAAAACACGTTTCATTGTTGACATGTAACAAAACTAAGTATTTAAAATATGAAAGAAGTCGCAAATGCAAATTGTTCGAGGTTTAAAGAATAATTCTGTATGTAGATATAAAAACAATTTTGTTGTAAAGTTTCACGAAATTTATTAAATTTTGACAGCTGTTTCGCTACACAGTAGCTTCTTCAGAATGTATTAAAACTAAAAGTAATACAAAATATATATAACAAAAAATATTGATATTCTAGGTAAGGATAATCATTTAACATCTACCTGTGTTACATAATAATAAACTAGGATCACATTCAGAAATACCTAAAGGGAAAAACCTAATCTGTTTATAGTTTGTATTTTATTTATTAAATATTATAAAAGTGTGAATATTTTATATAATGCTATTGTTATATGTTAATAAAATTAAAATAGATTTAAAAGTGGTGAATTATTAGTTTCTATTTGATCATTGAAACTAATAATTCACCACTTTTAAATCTATTTTAATTTTATTAACATATAACAATAGCATTATATAAAATATTCACACTTTTATAATATTTAATAAATAAAATACAAACTATAAACAGATTAGGTTTTTCCCTTTAGGTATTTCTGAATGTGATCCTAGTTTATTATTATGTAACACAGGTAGATGTTAAATGATTATCCTTACCTAGAATACCAATATTTTTTGTTATACATGTATATATTTTGTATTACTTTTAGTTTTAATACATTCTGAAGAAGCTACTGTGTAGCGAAACAGCTGTCAAAATTTAATAAATTTCGTGAAACTTTACAACAAAATTGTTTTTATATCTACATAGTTAATATGGAGTTTCATCAAGTAAAGGTCGAAACAATTAATAAAATAATTCTGTACAAAAATGTTGAATGGCAGTTTTAAAAATGCTATTGATAAAATAAAAATACTGTGCAACAGTAGAAAAATATATATATACATATTAGGGTGGTTCTTATTTGACCGATGTCGAAATTTTAATCGTGCCGCCCCCACAATTGTTTTTAAAAAATATAAATTTGAATGTCCTAACTTATTTCCTTCTATTGCCTGTAATCCTCCAGATAGAGGATTTTTGCCTTTGTATTAATTTTTTGTAAATTACTAATCTATGAAAAAGTATAATTTTTTGAGAAAATGTAGAGGATATAAGTTACTTTAAAACAAAAAAAATAAATCATGTATTTTCATCCTAAGGTCTTTTTTACTTCGCTCGATTATACT